AGGTTCACCAGTATAACCATCCACCCCATGTACAGCAGCCATGCCCGCTCAAATATCAGAAGGCAGAAAAGCACAAAAGCACAAAGTTACAAAGGAGAACATTTTGAGAATAAAGTCATATTGAGTAGTTTTTATTCTCTGGAACCTTGGCTAGGATTCAGATTGGTTTATTGATGACTCTTCTATAGGTCACTCTGGCTGTAAATAACTCCTGTTGAAATTAGACCTTAAACTCTGTTTTTCCTTCTCCCTCTCCCAATCCCGAACCCCAACCCCAAATAGGAAAGTAATTCCATTTCAGTTTGCACTGATTGCCAGTTTGTTCTGGGACGATTTCAAGGCTCTAGGTTTGACCCTTAGAATCTTAAATAGTTGATTGGCTCTCTTAAATTGTATGCTTTAATGCTATTGCTCCTGTAGTCAAGGTTATTTGCAGTTGGTATGTGATTTTTTTTTGTTTATTGAATCTTTTAATATTATAATTAATTTACATATGCTCTATTAAGTTTGATTATTCTAGCTGTTTTGAGGTATAGAAAAGTTTTGGCTTCTGGAGGAGAACTAAAACTTCTAGATACTGCCAGTTTATTAACTTCATAGCTATACTGTATTAATTCCTAATAAGGTTCATGTCTTTTAGCTGTAAATAACAATAACAACAACGTCCCACCATGTTCCTTCTCATCCTTGCTATAAGTCTGGGCACAAAGTAGCTGAAGAAAGTGCAGCAGAAAATGATAGCATCAGACTATACTAGCCTAGCAACCAATGTGTTAGAGTTGGTCCTGTGTTTTGGAATTATGTTTTAAAAAAAAAAAGCTGGGGAGAAAAGGTACAGGTGTTTGGCTGTATGCTCTGTACCTTCCTTTTCAGAAAATAATTAGAGAACTTTATTTGTTGCTATTGTAGAGCTATATATATTGATAAACATGAAGTAATTGCCCAAAGTGAAGACATTTTCTAACCATAATTATAAATGCATTAACCAGTGCTACTACACTGAACATTAAAAGATGGCTGGAATAGCTCAGAAAGATGGGTTGTAGACTAGATTTCATGGCACATGACCCTAAATATCTCCACTTCATTGGTATGCCATCTATGAAATATGAGTTCTTGAAAGTCCCCCTGGTTACAGGAGATAATATGTCCTTGGTGGAAGTATGCAAATTAATAGATTTATGGAATGGTTTATCAAATTACAAACTTAATTAATATATCTTTTTGTATTCATTGACCAAGACTGCAATACTCTGCTTTGTTGGAGGTATTAAAGGCCAGTCTAATATTGCCTGCACTTCATACGCATTACAGGAATTAGTACATTCCAAGGTAGTCTGCAGAATTTCATCAAAATAGTGAACGTGCATTATACCACAAGCTTTGCTCTGCACATTCAAAAGGAGTTGTGCTTGTGTCATGATAGTGTGGATATATTTATTTATATATCCATTTTAGCATCAGAAAATGGGCTAAAATGGATATAAATAAATACAAAACTGCTGTTTACTGTCAGACCATTGATCCACCAGCATATTGTCTATAGTGACTGGTAGCAGGTCCAGATCTACCGGGGTCTGGACTTTCTGAATGGAAAACATGCTCTGTCTGTAACCTACAGTCTCCTTTTGTGCTGTTGTTCTAGTCCTGATCATCCCAAGTAAAGAATCATTAAGCTTCTTACTTACAGTCACAAGTTTAGCCTTCTGACATGCTTCCTATGGTACCTCCATCTCTGGAGGATGGAATGAAATTCTCCCCAAGATTTGGATGGCCCCCACCCTGCTGATATTTTGAAAGGCCTTGAAGACAGGGTTGTGTCTACTGGCATTGAGTCCCTGATGATCAGAGGCCAGATGCGGTGGATGGGACATGTCATCAGAATGGATGACCACCATATGCCTCGCCAGTTGCTCTATAGTGTCCTGGAGTCTGGGAAGAGACCTTGAGGTCGACCACGCAAGTGCTACAAAGATCCCGCAAAAGAAACCCTATGCCACTGGGACATCCAGCCAAGGGAACTAGAAGCTGTGGCTGCTGACAGAACCCACTGGCAAGCCCTGTGCTATGAAACCTCCACCAGCTTTGAAGATAGGCAGTGCCCAAAACTGATAGAAAACCATGAGTGGTGTCACAGAATAACACCCACAGTTATGGCAACTGTGGACTTCCAGTGCCCCTATTATGCACGACAGCATGTCTTCTTCAAACCCAAAGGACTGCCTATTACCTGTTTGCCATTACATTGTTTTATTCCTCTTAATATTGTTTGCTTGTGAACTGCTCAGAGTTGTTGGGAGTTGGGTGCTATACAAATGTAATAATAAATAAACAATCACTACCTTAAGTATAATAAACGTTCAGTTATCAATTTGTACAGATAAAAGGATCCTGTTCTTAAGAGTGAAATGAGTTTGCAGCTTAGTGGCATTGAATGCATCCCATGCCAGCTAATTATTTTCCCTGCAGACCCTCTCTTGTATGATATTCACTAAAAGAAAAAAGAAAAAAAAGCTGAATGGAAGGGACATTCAGTATCTTCTGCGTGTATTGATCTTGGACTGGCCAACTTGTCGCCTTTTTAGATAATCGGGGAATGCCTGGCATCTCATCATTTTTGGCCTTCAAAACTTTATAATGCTATGTGGTAGACCCACCTGACCCTGTAGAGTGAAAGACAGGAGATCTCCAACTCTCCTTCCCAAAAGTCTTCTGGGTCTTCACACCCTGGCACAGCTTCTGCTTTTGGGGTAGCAGCCTGCTATACCCCAGTGCCATCACCTGTTTTCCAAGGACCATCTTACTCAGCATCCTTCCCTCATCCCAGTGTGTGAGAGAGAGCCGTCTCTCCCTGTGCTGTCTCTCCCTGTGCTGTCTCTCCCTGTGCTGTCTTTCTGGTGATTAAAAAGTACAGAGGTGGAAAAAAAGAAAAGAAATATTGCTATAATGCATCCTCCTCATGCAGCTTAGAGGCATCTGGCTAGAGGATTCAATGCTTCCTTGGGAGATAGAGGAGCTCACAAGGGATAACCAAAATTAAACTTTTTTTTTTAAAGTAAAATATAACAACCCTTTTAACTTTAAATATTAAAAATGCAGACTTTCAGTAGGGAAGGAGATAATTACAGAGCTGTTTGGACTGTGGAAAACAGTTCCTTGATTAAAAAAAGAAAACACACAAAAGAAAATGTAATGCTCCCAACAGATCACAAGATATTGTTGGTCTTCTACCAATAGCTCATTACTGTCCCAAAGCCTCCATTAAAAAAGAGATGGGACAGAGAGTTCCAAATTAATACTACAATTCACAAGAGATTTGAAAGAAAATATTCTCATGCATACTCTGAGGTATGCTGTGCAGCTGACATAAAACAGTTTCCTATTTTCTATAGAGAAAGAGAAAATCTAATGTGAATTCCTGCTAGACTTTTAAACCTTTTTTTCCCCCAGAAATAATGCTATGTGAAGGATGTGTTCCACTTTTTTTAGACTTCCTCTTTCTCAGGGACTCCACTAAATTAATTTTGAGGCTGCCTGGAAGATGGAACGAATCCTTTTTGTTTTCTGAGCATTAGTGGACAGTTTATCAGTGCACTCTTAGATTTTAAAAAGACCAAGGGGTTTCTGGAAAACTGAGAAAGGTATGGTAATTTGACTCTGTACATGTCAAAGAACTCTCCCTACTGGAAATGCGTATTCCAGGTCTGGCTGGCTATGAATAACTGAGTTTGTCCTGCAAGCAAAGAAATGACATTCAGAACCAATTAGTTCATACGTTGCCAGTTCCAAGCGACCTTTACACCACTGGATGACTTAGGACCACATTGTTCCAAAGTTTTTTTCCAGATATAACTAACTTGGAGCAAGTCTTAGGGCCCCTTCTTTGAGTGCTCAGTCAGTAGAGGTGCAGTGAAGGGTTATTGCAAAATGGGTGTTTTATTGGCACCCTTGATGTGGAATATTCTCAAACCAGGGAGAGGACATGTTTCATTCACTCAGGTCTTTGGGAGAGAGTTTTGCAAATGATTTCTATTCCTTCTGCCGCTTGAGATTTTAAATTGGAGGGTTTCCTTGTTTGTTGGCATTATGATTGTATGTTAACGTGAAATCATCCCAAGGACTATATATTATTCTGCTATAGATTGAAAACACAATCTTCAGGTTGAGGCTTCCTTATTGCAGTGTTTCAAGTAGGACCCAAAGCTGTTCTCCGCCCCGCCCCGCCCCGCCCCAAGTTTCTTCTCCCCAACAAAACCTTAAAATAACAAGTCCTGGAGCAACTGTAGTTTATTCCCTCTGATTAATTTCAGTGGAAAGCCTTTTTAGTGAACTAAATGACAGCACCCAAAAAAACACAAAAAAACAAAAAGCCCACCTACTTCCTGCCCAAACTGCTGGCAGATGCTCTGACACATGTTTCAGTTCCTCTCTACTGTCATGTAGACTGAGTAAGCTTGCCGTTAATATGTAGTTCAGGTAGCATGCTAAGCCATAAATCATGGTTTACAAACTGCAATAACAGGGTTCATACAATTCGTTAATCCAGTCTAAACAAACATACTGTAGCTTAACATAAAGCATTGACCATGTTTCCATTTGCTTGTAAGCTTGTAAATTGTAAGTTGCCCAGAGAAGTCTGTTAATAGGCAACAGAAATATAGTTCATAAATAAATAATAAATGAAAGATACTTCCTTGCCAGAATGAATGTGAACCATCTTTCCAGACAATGAGGTATGATAAGTCTACATATTGTGTTGCTCCCCCACCTCCCCACCTGTTGTTGCTTGTACATCTGGATGTGTGCTTTGGGAAACTGCAGCCAGCCAGAAGCTTTTCAGAATATGTACAGGCACAGTGCTCTATATTTGGATACACATGATTAGCACAGATTATCATTTGCATATAGTTGAAATATGGTAGCTAACAAGTTGAGATAACAGCTTTTTTACTGGATTAATTTGCTGTTTGATGCTAATTGTGCTCTTATTTTAATTCTAGAAATCTTGGGAAATCTGGATTAAGAGTTTCTTGTTTGGGACTGGGTGAGTATGTTATGTTTCAGGGGGTCTGTGTGTGTGTATTTGTTGGGGAGGAGATACTGGTTAACTTACATAGCTCTGCTTTGAAGTTAATGCCAGATAAGGAACTGGACAAAATACTGTGACATATATTTGTGTACAAAGTGATAGCTGTGTTGCATCTTGCTCTTAGATAATCAAAACAGACTTGTGATAGTATGTTATGGGCATGTTCACTCAGTTTTTGCTTCTAGGTATCACAGTAGTGAGATCAGTTCTTTATATTTATTTATTTATTGTACTTTTATACCCTTCAATGAAAATATTTATTCTCTTTTCCTATGTTGGGAGCTGGGCAGCTTGAGCATTTATAGCTGAGATCCAGCCTGCTGGCTTCCATATAGGTTGGACTACAACTTTCATTATTTCTGAGCCAGCTATATTGATTTGGGAAAGGCAGGCAGTGTGATTCATCACATGAATACTCTTCAAGCAGAAAGGCAAAATAAATTGAATAGATAAATACATTTCAAGGAGTGCTTGAATAAATAACAATGTAACATTTTGGTAGTCAGACACATATACTGTATGTTCAATAAGTAATTTGATTGGGTGCACGTAGAATGCGTTATCTGAAACAAAATCAGATTCATACTTCTGCAAAACTGTTCTATAGACATAAATTAGAGTCCTCAATTACAGGTAGTCCTTGATTAACAACCACAATTGGGACCAGAATTTAGGTCACTAAATGATGTGGTCGTTAGGCAAATTACATGGTTTTTAAGTGAATCACGTGGTTTCCCATTGATTTTGCTTGCCGGAAGCTAGTTGGGAAGGTCACAAATGATGATCACATGATCCCAGGATGCTGCAACTGTCGTAAGTGCAAGCTGGTTGCCAAGTGCCTGGATCATGATCAAATGACCACAGGTGTGCTGTGATAGTCATAACTTTGAGCGCTGGTCATAAGTCACCTTTTTTAGTGCTGTCGCAACTTCAAACAGTTGCTAAATGAATGTTCTTTAAGCAAGCACTATCTGTAATGTCTCCTAAAGGGGGATGTCCCCAAGGGGTACATATCAATGTTGGTTTTCTAAGAACCAACATCTTCATTTCTCTCCAAATGCAAACGTTTTTTTCTTCTTGCCATACAGTTTTTTTTTCTTCCTAGCATTTTTCCTGCAGGTGCAGGGTTGACTTTTTGTTCCCAGATCAACCAAATATTGATCTGTTGGTTGTGACAGGAATTGATCAACCAACTCGTCGCCTGAGCCTGACATCATGGGCTGAGACAGAGTAACTGGCCCAAAGTCACCCAGCTGGCTTTCATGTCTAAGGCAGAACTACAGCTGGCAGTCTCCTGCTTTCTAGCCTGGAGCCTTAACCACTAGACCAAACTGGCTCTCTGTTCTTGCCATACAGTATTATAATATATTGAATATCTCATTTCCCCTGCAATTATTATACTGTTAAGAAATTCTAAATAGATGTACCTTCTCACAAAGAAAAATAAGAATAATTTGAAAATTAATCACTATAGGTTCAAATCTTAGTTGTGAGGAAAAAGTTAACAAAAGATTAGGAGAGGAAGAAAGGTTAATAGAACATTCAACGAAGTCCAAAGGCCTATTCCAGCCTTCCCCAGTGTGGTACCTTCAAAATATGTTGAGACCACAATTTCCTGTGTGGCTTGACTATACTTAACTAGACTTTTGAAAAGTTATAGTCCCAATAAATGTTGGAAGTGCTAGGCTGTGCTTTATTCTTTGATCAGTTCAAAGTAAAATGCCAAGAAAATATAGTTTTAAAATTAAATTTCACATTGTAGCAGTGTTATCAATGTACGACAAACATATATCTGTTCCCCACCACCTTTGTCGAAGCAAAGTATTTATGGTTTTAACTTGCATATCTACTGCATTAGATCTATTTAGTTGAATAGAACATGGAGAAATACTAGCAGTCTGAGAAATAACCCCATGTGGTGCAAAGGAATGGCCGCACCTCCATGCCAAATGGCCTTTTCTGAATGACATAAGCTGTAATCAGATAACTTTGTAGAGAGTCAATAAGCATATCCAGTCAAAGTTGACCCTGTGTTATTCTTACTGTACTTTGTGATATGAGTTCTGTTCAACTGATAGCAGCAGTGCATTCATCATATGTGGATAATCTTGAACATAATTATTTATATTTTTACATTCAAGATACAAATCCTTCTAAGACAGATTACAAGTGAAAAGAAATGGGGATCAATTTACTGCATTCCAGAATGCATTTTTATTAGATCATTTTAGAGGTCAGAAAAATGTGCAAGCTTTTGAGAATTCCAGATCTCTCCATCAGGCAAGATGGCACAATGGCACATTGGAAGAGGAGAAAAAAGAGAGGAAAGGATGGTTTGATCATGAAACAGAATGCCCCAAGATGGTTTCCAGTGTGTGGACATCATGAATACAGTATGAAACCAATTCAGTAGGCATTCTTCCTTTGCCTACTATCTTCACCTCCTTTTTGCAACATATTGCCTAATGAAGATAGTTGAGTTGTGCTAGCATGTGTTGCCAACCCAGTTACCTTGTGTGTGTGTGTGTGTGAGTATGAATGTAACAAATAACACTGATTGGAATCCTGGAGTTTGTGAGATGGGTGGCTATATAAATATGAGGACTGACTGACTGACTGACTGACTGACTGACTGACTGACTGACTGACTGACTGGATGGATGGATGGATGGATGGATGGATGGATGGATGAATGAATGAATGAATGAATGAATGAATGAATGAATGAATGAATGAATGAATGATAAACAAAATCCCTCACTGTTAGCAATTGATGATCTGGTGTGAGAAACGAGCCCAGGCAGAGTAAACTCAGATATTTTCTTTGTCTGTCCATCCCTCTCTTCTGACAGCTAACGTAATCCTTGGCATCTATATTCATTGAACATACCTTCTTGTTATATTTTCATTTTTACTGTAAACTACCCTGGGATGAATTATATCCTGGAAGTTGGAGTAAAATCTCTTTCAACTCAAGCTTGATTTCTGATGATTTCATGACTACTCGTCCCTACACTTACTGAGAAAACTACACGTTTACATCCATGTTGTCGCTAGGAGTTGAACTTCACTTGAGGGCATTTTTATCTTTTTTTACTTTTTATATAGCTTCCAAGATGCAGATCTATGTATGTGCTAATTAGAAATATATCTGCCTCATCAAATGCACTTACCGCATTTAAATTAAAGACTACTTTGAAACTCTTACTTCTGAAATTTACCTGTAATATGGGGCTGTTTATGCAAACCTTCTCTGGTGGTGAGGAATCTGGCACAGCTTATGCATCTCAGTGTGTTGCTATGAGACATAAGCTTTTCAGTGCTGTGGAATCCATGGATGACAGCAAAAATGTAATAATCAAATGTGACAGTTCCCAAGGCTTTGTAGAGCCTGGAATCAGATTTATCTTGAGGAAATTTATCATATGACCAGAGAGAATCAGTCCACCAGATTATAATTGGAACTTGTTTGTTCCTAAATTCCTTATTTATTTAGATGACTTTCTAGATATTAAGTCAGCTCAGAGTAAGTGGTAGTCAGTATTCTTACTGGAGACCTGTAAACTACAGTAAAAAGAATTCTTAATTCGTAACACAGAGACTTCAGCTACTTACCACCTAAATTATGGCCCCATTTTACCTGAATTTTGTTTGAGGGAAAATTCCTAAATGTTAATGTGACTTCCTAAAGATATTGTTTAGAGTACAGCTTCTTTCCTGAGAGCTCTAAAAGTGAAGTTACTGAGTAGTATATGAACACATAAGTCCTGTCTCTTAATGCATGGAACAATCTGGTTTTCAAAACAACATCTATCTGGGTGCTGGGAATAAATTACTCAGCCATTCCTCTTATTTAATCCTGAATACCCATGCAGAAAATAATGTATGCAACCAATATAATGAAACTCTTCTCCATATTACTTAGCTATTAGAGGAAGGCAGAAGTTGTCCTAAGTAATACTGTATAAAACTGATTGACTTTCATTGAGACAGGAACTTTGGTTTAAACCTGGAATGGCATGTTCTAGAGAGTAGAGGAGATGGCTTGACAGAGAGAGGGAAGATCTATTACCAAGGCAACAAACAGAAAAACATGGCTTAAGCCCATACAAAGGATGAAAATTGCAAAATCATCTAAGGCAGACACTCCCCTAATTCACATGAAAATGAAAGAAGGAGGAGGGGAAGCACATTCAGACTTGCAAGATTCTGTTACTATAGCCATTCTAATAAAAATCGTTTTAGGCTTATGCAGTGTCTGTTATTTGACCTGGGCTACCTTGTAGGGTTGACACACATAGAACTGAAGTGAAAAGTGGACTGAAAGGACCAAATATATGGTATCAGCAGTGTATTCCTACTGCTTATACCCAGTTTCCCTATACATTCTCTCTTTTTTGAGTCAGGGGGAGTAAATCATTGGTATTCAACACAAAACACCAAAATGAGATGGGGTGCAGTCAGGAGATCAACAGTGCAAATCCAATTGAAGCCTGGACAAATTTTATGGCAATTGCCAGCCAGTGATAGTGTTCCTTGCCTAAGGTAGAACTAGCCCCCAATATTTGTCATGGTGCAGAACTTAAGCAGTAGTTCTTTTTACTAGAATAATTGTGTTCCATGGGGCTGGATTAAGGAATTTGGGGCTCAGAGAAGCACCGGGTTTGGATCTCACACTCTGTAGCCCACCCCTGGATTAACATTACAGATGGATTCCTGAAAAAAAGTGATGCTTAAACCATGTATTCAGAATAACCATAGAACCTGAACTGGAAAGTCAGACAGACAGAGAGAGAGAAAGAGAAAGAAGGAAAGAAGGATGAAATCTATTGAACACAAACATCTAAATACTTACTTCTTTAGTTTTTTAAAGCCATTTTTGGCTTCTTTATATGATTCCCTTGGCAGGTAGAAAAACTGCTTTTATTTCTTAAGTGTTGTTTTCCTTGCTTTCT